TGCATGTGTGCACACACCTGTCCTGGGACTTGAACTCAGGGCCTAGGTGCTGTCCCTGAGCTTCTTTTGCTCACTTTCAGCTTTTTTAGGTGCTTCATTGGAGACAAGTATCTCACAGACTTTTCCTGCCCCTGCTGGTTTTGAACTGAGATCCTCAGATCTCAGCCTCCTGTAGCTAGGATTATAGGTATGAGTCACCAGCATTGGGCTCTTGCCTTTTCTTTTCTTCTTTCTTTTTTCTTTTTGTCTCTCCAGTAAGGCCAGAAACAGCACATCAAAGCACTGAATCTTGCAGCTGAGCTGAAGAAGTAACTCCTCCCTGCCCTGCTTTCTGGGCTCCTCTAGACTTAGTAGGCCTGATTTGATATTCACAGCCACAGACTCAGTGGAGGAAACCCCCACCCCCACTTCCTGCTTCACACATGCCAACCGCAGGCTAGCTTCATAGCCCATCACGTGAAAAGTCAGGTGAAACTTCAGCCAGCACCACCTGCCTAGAAGTTTCAAGAACTGAACATTTGACCTCCACAGTAAACATGACCCACATGGCAATTCCACCAGAGTTGGAACATCCATTTCTCCTCTCTTCCAAGCCCCCACCATTGATGATGTTTGAAGTTGGATTCATGGTATTGAAGAGAAAGATCAAATCCACATTAAATCTCTCCAGCCGCAGCCGAGGGAAATGCTTTAGTGCATTTCCTTCCTCTATGAAGTTTTGACACAGAAGCATCTTCCACATCTAGATTGTTCTTTCTCTGTAAGTCTCTTTTATGACCTTTGCCACCTGCCTATTCAGCAAAAAACATTACCACACACTTCCTGCAAAAAGCAGAGACTGCCTCTCAGGTCTCTTACCTACTTGCTCTAAACACACTTCTGCCTTCCTGTTCTCTGGTAGAGAGAATTTATAAAAACAGTCCTTGCTCCTGTGCTATGTCAGTTCTGTGTACTCCTGACCTCTCCTCTCCCATTGCAATTTTACTCTTGCGTTTATCTCCTTTCTCATCTCCCTTGTTTTATTCTTCTGTACAGATTCATTCTCAATGAATGTGTACAAGGATAGTAATCTCTCATCTTAGAAAATCCCCACATTAAAAAATATAATCAGATACCATTAGATGTCTTTTACGGTAGCTAAAATCCAAATCATCAACCAACACCACTGAATGCTGGCAAGGCTGTGGAGCAAACAGGAACTGGTGGGAATCAAAATGAGAAGAGTCATTCAGGTGATAGACAATTTCTTATGAAATGAATTATAGAAGTCACCGGTAGAGCACCTGCCTAGCAAGTATGAAGTCCTGATTTCAAACATAAGTACCACGAAAAAATGTTATCTTACCATATGATCCTTCAATGAAGTATTTTACCTAAAAGAATTGAAAACTTATATTCACACAAAATCCCACAGGTGGATATTGGCAGCTTTGATCTTCATTATAATCCAAACTGAAAGCAATGAAGATGTTCTTCAATAAGTCAATGATAGGTACACCAACTTTGGGACAGCCACACAGGAAATACTCTTTGCCAGTAAAAAAGTAAATGAGTGACCAAGCCATAGCAGGACACGAAGGTACTGCAAAAGCAATAACTAAGGGAAAGAAAGCCATCTGGAAGAGCCACGTACTGTATGACTCCAATGGAGACATTTACATATACATATAGTGATCATCATGGGTTAGGGAAAGGAGAGATGAATGGACAGAATGCAGGATTTTTAGGGCCACAGAACTAGTCTATCAAATACTACAATTATGGAAGCAAAACATTACCTATGTGGTGAAACCCATAGAATATACAACTCAAAGAGTGATTCCTAGTAGAAGCTATGGACTTTAGTTAGTAAGAATGTGTCCATTTGGGTTCCTTGGTAGTAAAAGTAAAGGTACCATATCCACATAAAACATTAATACAGCAATAGGGTGGCTGGCACAGTGGAAGTGCACCTTTTTCTCATCACTCATGCCAGGTTGTTCCCATGGCTACCCCTTGGAAAGTCTTATCACCTGTGGTGGCCTTCGAGGGACACTCAGCTTCCTTTACCCTAAGTACAGACTTCAGAGCTCTCCCATTGCCTTCATGACTCCTCCCTCCCCCCCCCCTCTCTCTCTGTCTCTCCCTCCACCTGATCATCTATAGGCCTCTCCAACTCAGCAGTATAAAACAGTAGTGGGTTTCCATTCTCCACTTCCGAATGCTTTCTCCTCACTCCATGCCCAATGATCATAGCACCATCCAGCTCATTGCTCAGCCCCGGAGCACATGTGTCTCCCCTTGCCTTTGCTGCAGGCCTTGACGGGGCCTGTAGCATTTGTCCTTTTTCTGGTCTGGCCGCCTGGGAATTGTAGGCCCAGGCTAGCTCTTGTTTAGGCCTCAGCACAGGGACACCGCTACTGACCACGGCGTTGCTTGTCAAGGAAGGTCTCCTGAAATACCCAACACACACTTGCAAAAAATGACAACTTTTTTTTTTTACAGGAAAAATGAGTACATGGACGAGATTTCCATATACACATACATGCTCTCCATCCACACACATTCTCCTTCATTACGACTATTTTGCTTCAGTATGGAATGTCTTGTTATAACTGACGAACCAACATGGATGGATTATTATGAATTAAGTGATATAGTTTATATCAAGGTTCACTCTTTTTTTTTTTTTTATCCTCCTCAGTACAGATGTTTGAACTCAGGGGCTCAGGCTTATTAAGGAGGTGCTTTCCCACTGAACAATGCCCCCAGACTTTTTGCATTATTTTGTCTTTCCTCTTCTCTCTTTCTCTCTCTCTTTTTTTTGGGGGGGGGGGTCTGGTTGTGGGGCCTGAACTCTGGGCCTGGGCGCTGTCCCTCAGCTCTTCAGCTCAAGACTTGCACTCTACCACTTGAGCCACAGTGCCACTTCCGGCTTTTTTCTTTTTCCTTATGTGGTGCTGAGGAATCAAACCCAGGGCCATGCAAGGCAAGCGCTCTACCACTCAGCCACCTTCCCAGCCCTCTCTTTCGATTCTTGAACTTTGCATTCATGCATTTGGTTATTTTTGAGATAGCTTTTTAATTCCTGCCAAGCATGTACCTGAACCTTGATCTACCCATTTTGTACTTCCTTTCTAGTTGGGTGTTCTAATGGGTGGTCACTACTACAGCAGCTTCTTCCACTGAGATGGACTTTTCTGCCTGGGCATAAAAAGATGTTAACATTTCCAGTTGGGGGTTGGGGCCACAGCTCAAGTGTGAGTTCCTTCCATCTTCAAATCCAGACCAGTTACATTTCCTTTCAGTAGCTTTAATGTTTAAAATATGCACACACTTTACTGAAAAGCCACCTTATATTCTATTTGGAGAGTTCTCGAGATAAAAATAATAAGCAAACAAACTAATGATAGATTCTATCTTTCCTCTCTAGTTGCTGTTGGACAATTGATCAGTGGGATCTGAGGGGAGGACAAAAGGATAAAGAAAAGACCAGAAAGCTGGGCACTAGTGACTCATGCCTATAATCCTAACTACTCAGGAGACTGAGATCTGAGGATTGGAGTTCAAAGCCAGGGCCGGAAAGTACATGAAACTCTTATCTCTAACTAACTGTAGTGGGGAGGGGCAATGAGACCTCAGTTCGCAGTGAAAATGTAAAAGATTTTATTGAGCGAAAAGTACTGACGTGCCAGGACCACCTGAAGTTGGGATCCCGGGAAACGGCCCACATCGGCTTTTCAGCATTTTGGGCTAGGGTGGGGAAAGAGGGAGGCTGGTGTTGGTTTTAGCCCATGATTGTTATAAGAAATGCACACCTTAAGTTTAAATTTCCCACCAAGGTTTTGCTGTTGGGAAGCAGGGGAATAGAACAAAGGGTGGTGTTGGTTCTGCTGGGTTAGGGTTGGCATTGTTCAGAAAATAGCAGAAGCAGAGTTACAGAGTTACAGGGTTATGGAGTTACAGAGTTACAGTTACTAGCTAAAGTAACAAGTTACTAAGGAAGTCATCCACAGCACACTTACATTTATATCTTAAAATCATTCAGTATCCACTTTACACAATCGAAGGTCAAATATCATATTCCATCTTTAAGTTCTCACGTCCTCCACCATATCACTAACCACCAGACAACAAAGTGGTGCTGTGACTCAAAGTGGTAGAGTGCTAGCACTGAGCAAAAAAGCTCAGGGACAGCCCTCAAGGCTCCAAGTTCAAGTCCCACAACTGCCAAAAAAAAAAAAAAAAAGGAAACAAAAGACCAGCAAAGGAGCAGAGGGGTGGATATTTACAAAAGTAGGCTCTAGCTGAAATATGCCAAGCCTTTAAAAGTCCATGCTAAACGCTGGGACTTCTCAGGAGGCTGGGATCTGAGGATCACAGTTCACAGGAAGCCTCCAGCCCCGACAGGAAAGTTGTGACTGTTATCTACAGTTAACACTAACCACCAGAAAGCCAGAAGTAGAGCTGTGGCTCAAGTAGTAGAGCTCCAGCCTTGAGCAAAAAAAAAAAAAGTTAAGTAACAGGACCCAGGCCCTGAATTCAAGCCCTGAGATTGGCATTAAGGCGAGGGGGGGGAATAATTAGGGAACCTCAAATGACATCCAACCAAGAAAGGATCGCCACTGGTTTGTTTTTAAAGGTGTTGTGATGTCCTTTTATTGATTGGAGATCTCTAACTAGAGGTTTATGAAAGTAATAAATGGGGAAGCCAAAAGGGAATCCCTTCCCGCGTTCCCTCATCCATCATGGTTTTGTGCATCTCTAAGACCCAAGCAGAGTTGAGGCCAGAGGATGCTTCAGTAACCAGAACACCGTAATCCCTTCCCGCATAGATGTTAAGGGAGGACACAGAGCGCGTGCGCGCCCGTGTGCGCGCCCGCGCGCGCTCCGGGGAAGGCGCGGCGCCCTGGATCAGCATTGGACGCCAGGAAACGCCCGGACCTTTGGCCCCGCCCCGCCCCGGCCCGGCCCCGCCCCCGCGGCCCGGCGCGGAGCTGCGTTCTGTGGGCCGGCCGGGTGTGTTTGTTCCCGCCGCGCGCTGAGGCGGCGGGCCAAGTGTCAAGGCCGCCTCCGGTCCGCGCAACCCACTGTCCTCCCCGCGCCGGCCCTGCCCGGTGCCCGCGCCGCTGCGTCCCCGGCCGCCAGGGCGGGAGGGGCGGGGCGCCTCCCGGCCGCCAGCGCTGCGCGCCGAAGCCCGCTCCGCAGGTCAGCCGAGGGGTCGCGGGGGAGGGGTCGCGGGGGAGGGGTCGCGGGGGAGGGGTCGCGGGGGAGGGGTCGCGGGGGAGGGGGCACGCGAGGGGGCACGGGGGAGGGGTCGCGGGGGAGGGGTCGCGGGGGAGGGGACACGCGGGAGGGGTCGCGGGGAGGGGGCACGGGGGAGCGGGCACGGGGGAGGGGGCACGGGGGAGCGGGCACGGGGAGGGGACGAGTGGCGCCGGCGTGCCCACCCCGGAGCGGAGGCCGCCTCCCCCAGCCATATTCCCGGAATCCCCACCGGCTTCTCCCGGTCTCCGGGACTCCGCCTCCCCGGCTTCCCTCCGGGTCGTGGGGGCTGCTCCTGGTGCGGCCTGGGCTGCGGCCTGGGGACCCCGGTCGTCCCGGGGCGCCCTGCGGCTGGGCTCCCCCCTGCCGTGCCCCCCCAGGTGGCCGCCGTCGGGGGTCCCAGGGTCGTGCGCCCGGGACACCGGGCTGTAGCCACTGCAGGGTGCGGAGCTTCGGGGTCGGAGGGCGGCCATTCCTGATGTCCGCCTGGCCCGGCCACCGCGGGCCCCTCGCGAGCCGCGGGGCGCCCACCGCCGCCTCTGGAGGGGGCTGCGGTGGGGGGGCTTGATTTCTCCTCGGCGCCGAGCGCTCGGTCGGTGAGCTCCCCTGAGTTCGCGGTGTTGGATCCCAGGTTTGGCAGAGGGGTCTTGGAAAGGAAGAGCCTGGGAGTCCCGGCCTGGGCTTGAGCCCTGTCCCTCAGCTTCTTACTATGTCAGGACTCCGCCGGCCTCGTCCCGCAGTGCATCGGTTCAGGTTTAACGCGAGCGCAGCTTTAGCAGAGGCCACACCAAAACTGGCTCTAAAGAAAACATCTTGGCAGCTAGCGGTTTAGAACTGGGTGGATAAAGTTTGATGTTTGTCTCGGGAAACAGCTCGAACTTTTAGCTTCCAGAGCTCACTCACAACTTGTTTTTCTACTTTAAATTATATATACAACAACTTGCATGGCTGTGCGTGTGTGTTTATGTGTACCACTTGAGCCAGACCTCCACTCCTAACTTTTTGGTGGTTAATTGGAGATAAGAGTCTCAGACAGACTTTTCTGCCCAGGCTGGTTTTGAACCATGATCCTTAGATCTCAGCTTCCTGAGTAAGATTATAGCCCCCCACCACACTATATAACATATATACATATATATACATATATGTATATATACACACACATATATATATATATATATACTTTGTACAGAGGTTTGAATTGGGGATCTTGTGTACGCAATGCAGATGTTTTACCACTGGAGCATGCCTCTAGACCTTTGCCATGACAGTTCTTAACTGAATTTTCCTCCAAAGTTTAACTTACTAATATTGGTTGATGTAAGGATGTGTAGCTCAGTACAGTGTTTGCCTAGGTTGCTGGGAGTGACAGGTTCGGTCTCAAAAAGTAAGGAAGAAGTTAAGATCCACCTGTATTTGGTTCAGGTTATTTGACCAATAACAACTTGGTGACTTATCTAAAGAAAAATGAAGCCAAAAAAAACTCTAGAAGCAGTTAGGTACAGGTGCCTCACACCTGTAATCCTCACTACTCCAGAAGCTGAGATCTGCAGATTGTGTTTCAAAGCCAACCCTTCAGGAAAGCCCATGAGACTCTTACCTCCTACTACCTGCTAAAATTCTGGAAGTGTATTTGTAGCTCAAATGGTGGAGCATTAACCTTGAGCAAAAAAAAGCTCAGGGATAGTGCCAAAGTCCTGAGTTCAAGCCCCAGGCCTGGCACCAAAAAACAAAACAAAACCAAACCAACAACAACACTAGGAAAACATAGATCACCCAAAAGGAATTGTCTTAGAAGTCAAACTGGTTTTCTGCAGTGGTAGGGATTAAACCCAGGGCCTCACACTCTACCACTGAACTACAGAAGGGAAGCTTTTAATAAAATGTGTCTTCCTCTTGCTGAGGTATTTTTATTGAAATTATATATTCCAGTAGGGCATGGTGGTATGCTTTTGTCATCTCAGAATTTAGGAGGCTGAGACAGAGGATCATGAGTCTGAAGCCAGCTTTGGCTACAAAGCAAGGCCCCGTCTCAAATAAATAAATAAATAAATAAATAAATAAAACTATGTGTGAATATACACAGATATTCCATCACTCACACTTGCCCACATAAAAGCACATTGGATTCCTGTTGCCATAACACTTACAAACTTTCAAAACGAGTCAGTCACATATCTAATCCTTAATCAGTATTTCTATTTTATCAGAACCAGCATCCACATTAAACCAATTGTTGATTGTAAGAAGAACTTTGAGGGGCTGGGAAGGTGGCTCAGTGGTAGAGCACTTGCCTTGCATGCCTGAGGCCCTGGGTTCGAGTCCTCAGCACCACATAAGCAAAAAGAAAAAAGCCGGAAGTGGCTCTGTGGCTCAAGTGGTAGAGTGCTAGCCTTGAGCTGAAGAGCTGAGGGACAGCGCCCAGGCCCAGAGTTCAGGCCCCACGACCGGACCCCCCCCCCCCAAAAAAAAAGAAGAACTTTGATGTATATGACCAAGTAAGAAAAAAAAAATCACACGGTCATGCCGTTGTATAAGCCAGGGTCTTGCAAAGTAGATACTGTAGTTTTTGTTTGCTTGGTGGCTTGCTTTTAATTCTGAGGTTCTTAAAAATACATGTAAGTTTTAAGCATATCCCCATCTCTGCACAGCACTCCAGCCAGTGAAAACACTTGAAAATGCTCCCTAATGGTTGTAGGAAAGTTGCCTGCCAGGCTTAGCCATTTTCCTCTCTGATAGTGGAGCGCCTGCCCCTGAGTGCCCGACACAGGGGAGGAGGTCAGCTGATTGCCCACAGATCAGAACAACCCGGAAGCCCAAATGGCTGACACCACCTGCCTCTCTGCGATTTGCCAAAATCTCCCCCGAAAGAAAGCAGAGCCAGTGTGCTGAGGAAGACTGAGCACAAGCGTTTCTGGGCCTCATTCCCCAACGCCCCTAATTGCATCAAGCCTTCAGTACCAGCCTGAGCCGCTGTGGAAGCTTACCTGAACAAACTAGAATCAGCTCAACGTGTCAAAAGGAAAACAGGATTTCACACCACCCGAGGAATGATGATAGGTGGGGGAAGGGAGAAGAGGAAAGAAAAGTGTTCAACTAATCACACACATAGGTACATAAATTACTTAGCAGCCAGGGAAGAGCTGCTGGCTCTCCAGGAGGCTGAGATCTGAAGCTCATGGTTCTAATGTAGCTGGAGCAGATTCGTACTGCCAATTAACCAGCAAAAAGCAGGAAGTGGGCGTGTGGTTCTAGTGGTAGAGTGTTAGCCTGGAGTGAAAAGCTAAGGGACAGCTCCTATTCACAAACATGATGAGCAGCGGAAAAACCAGGAAAAAACAAAACAACAACAACAAAAACCCCAAGAAATAGCGAACTAAGTGTTAAAGAACTTAAGAGTGGGGAAAAAAAAAAAAGACTTGGTCCAGCTGGGCACTGGTGGCTCACACCTGTAATCCTGGCTACTCAGGACGCTGAAATCTGAGGATTGCTGTTCAAAGCCAGTCTGGGCAGAAAGTGCATGAGACTCTTATCTCCAATAAACCACCAGAAAACCAGAAGTGGCGCTGTGGCTCAACAAAAAAGCTGAGGAACAGCACCCAGGCTCTGAGTTCAAGCCCCATGACTGACCAAAAAAAAAAAAAAAGAGAGAGAAAATGTTGGTGAATATTGTATTTAAATTAATACAAAGTATCAGTAGAAATTGTGGCTAGAATAGAGTGGACTTGCTTTAAGTCTAGACAAAGAAAAAAAAGCAGCAAAATGTAAGGAAGTAAAGGAGGAAAGGGAAAAACAATGAGAGTTAATGTCATCTTGCAAAACACTGATCAATAAATACGTCTTAAATGTTAAAAGATAGCCAGATACCAATGGCTTAGGCTTATAATCCTAGCTACTCAAGAGACTTAGAAGTGAGGATCAAAGTTCTAAATCAGCCTGGTCAGTAAAGTCTATGAGACTCTTCTGTCCAATTAACCACCAAAAAACTGGAAGTGGAGCTGTGACTCCAGTGGTAAAGCACTACCCTTGAATGAAAGAAGCTCAGAGACAGTATCCAGGCCCTGAGTTCAAGCCCCAGGCCTGGCACCAAAGAGACAGAGGGGGGGGAGGGAGGGAGGGCGAAGGCTTGAGCTGGGGACAATTTGTAGCCTGGTACTTGCATATGTGTATGACTGGCTGACACCCCTGCCTTCATGGTAAGGAGCTTGGGCAGTCAGTGAGCTAAGAGCAGACCGACTGCATAACATGGGCCCACAAAGGCAAATAAAAATGGAGGGCCAGCTCTTTTTTAAAAGTCCCATAAAATAAGCCAGGTGCCGGTGGCTCACACCTGTAATCCTAGCTACTCAGGAGGCTGAGATCTGAGGATCTCCGTTCAAAGCCAGCCTGGGCAGGGAAGTCCGTGAGACTCTTATCTCTAATGAGCCAATAGAAAACTTGAAGTGGCGCTGTGGCTCAAGTGGTAGAGCACTAGCCTTGAGCTGAAAAGCTGAGGGACAGTGCCCAGGCCCAGAGTTCAAGTCCCACAAACTGACAAAAAAAAAAGTTCTATAAAATACTAAAATGAAGAATCTCCTTCAGTTTTTTCTCAAATAATCATTTTTTATTTATTTTATTTTATTTTTTTTGGTCGGTCGTGAGGCTTGAACTCTGGGCTTGGGCGCTGTCCCTCAGCTCTTTAGCTCAAGGCGAGCGCTCTACCACTTGAGCTACAGCGCCACTTCCGGTTTTCTGGTGGTTTATTGGAGATAGGGGTCTCACGGTCTCTCCTTCCCCGGCTGGCTTTGAACCGCAATCCTCAGATCTCAGCCTCCTGAGTAGCTAGGATTACAGGCGTGAGCCACCAGCGCCCGGCTCAAATAATCATATTTTTAAATGTACTATTTAATGCCATTCTAAAAAAAAATTAGCATGAATCTTCTTATCTTCTTCTTTGTATTGTGTGTCAAGCCAGATTTGAAAATTAATACAAGGACTAGAAGTGTGGCTCCAGAGGTAGAGCACCAGTTTTGAGTGAAAAACAAAAAAAGTGAGACTACAAGATCCCGAGTTTAAGCACCAGAACCAGCATTAAATATGTATCTATGTATATTCAAATATATATAGTTGAGGCTGGGAAGATGGCTTAGTGGTAGCGTGCTTGCCTTGCATGCATGAGGCCGTAGGTTCAATTCCTCAGCACCACATAAGCAGAAAAAGCTGGAAGTGGCGCTGTGCCTCAAGTGGTAGAACGCTAGCCTTGAGCTGAAGAGCTGAGGGACAGTGCCCAGGCCCAGAATTCAGCCCCCATGACCAACAAAAAAAAGACAAAATAAATCAAATATATATAGTTTATATATATTTAATATATAGCAAATATTTACATTATATAATATATTTATACATATAATATATGCTATACTTTATATGTTATTATATAAGATACATTATAAATATATGCAATATGTTATATTTGTAATATTTATAATGTATAATATATTTAAGTATATCAGATATTTATATTTAGTGTATATATGTAATGCCAATACAAGAGTACTTATTTTGGATATAGAATTATTGCATTACACTATTAAGAGCACTCAAGCCAGATTCAGGATGATATAAACCACAAAATCATAAACAAGGGTAAAATAAAAATAAAGACAGTGACCTCTTCCCTCCTTGGGCCAAATAGATTCTCAAAACGGGAAAACAAGGTTCAGTTAGAAGCCGTGAGCGCTTCCCCCCTGTTAAGCAGGACTGAGACGTTACTAACAGGAAGAGGAAGAACCAGACATGGCCGGAAGTAGATAAGCACCAGACTTGGGGGGAAGTTCAGCAGTTGGGTGCTGAGACAAAGCAGGCTGGTCATCATGTTTTATAAATCTCAGAATGTGCAGGTGGAGAGACAAAAGCTGGTCCTTCTAGTATTTCTCACACCGTTGCAAGTTACTGTTAGATTCCAGAAAATGACTGCCTCTGGTGCATTAAGTCACTGGCTTGCTGCATGGGTGGCAGCTTGAGCCTGTCTGAAAAACTTTTGGACTTCTCTTTGTCCAGTAGTTATTTTGATGTTTTTCTGTTGAAGGTTATGATGAAGTAAGAGTTTCTGGGAGTATAGAACTCTCCTCTGCCAGTGACTCCCATTCAATCCATAATCTATTCATCTCATCTAAAGGGTTTAAATCTCTACTCTGGCTGGGCATCAGTGGCTCACGCCTGTAATCCTAGCTGCTCAAGAGGTGAGATCTAAGGATCACAATCAAACCTGGACAAGAAAGTCCAAGAGACTCTTATCTCCAACTAACCACCAAAAGTTCAAGGCTCAGAACCAACACACACACACACACACACACACACACACACACACACACACTTTAACTGAGAGTTCCCTGTTCAAAAGTTAAATTTACAATTTCTCTCAGGAGAAGCTGAGAGAGTCAGCTGGAGTAAAAAGGCAGATGGACCAGCTCTTAGGAGGACAGAGGGCTAGCACCAGGAATTTGGCTAACCATTGATGGCTTTGTGTGATCTTGTCTTTGCCCTGTTTTTAATTTTTACAAATCAATTATCAAGTCCAAATGTTAATCATCTGGTATGATTTTCTTTCAGGTGAAAAAATAAAAAAAGGATTTAAAAACCAGCAAAGATGCTTTTGAACTACAGGGCCCCAGCCGTCCATTCACTTCTTTGGTGTCTTACAGGTAAGTGCTACTTTTTATCTTACTCTATGGTAGCAAGCTTGTGTTGACATCACCATACAGAGTTCTGTAGTGGAGCAGCAAACTGCCTTCCTAACTGCAGGGCCAGATCAGCCTGCTTCCTGTCAGCTGCTCCTTGAAAAGCTGACTGCGTTAATTTTAGGAAAACACGGATATATATAAGAATAGCAGAAGGTGCAGTGATATTGGGAGTATCCTTGTGTATCATTTAGTGGTCCTTACCGGGAGCTGGTGCCTCACACTTGTAATCCTAGCTCATTAGGAGGCTGAGATCTGAAGATCACAGTTTGAAGCTAGTTCAGGCAGAAAACTCTGTGAGACTTCTCCAGCTAACCACTAAAAAGCTAGACGTGGAGCTGTGGCACAAGGAGTTAAGTTCTAGCTTTAAGCAGAAAAAGCTAAAGGACAGCACCCAAGCCCTAAGTTCAAGCCCTAGTATTGGCACCAAAAAAAAAAAAAAAAAAGCGATTTCTCATAATTCCCTCAGTCAAACCCAGGGTAGAGTTTATCACCAGACTTCAATAGCTGGAAAGGGAGCCAACCTTGTAACTCTTACCCTGTAGTTTATGCATTCCATTTACTATCCATCTTTTCTCTTACTCTCTCTCTCTCTCTCTAGTTCTAGTCTTGTTACCTGGTTGCTTCTATTTCAGAAGCGATGTCTTCTGTCACACAGTTTATCAGCAGAGTATCCAGGAATGGGACCAGGTCTGGCAGCATGCATGGATGATCTCCATGGATACCATGTATCTAAAAAATTCCAGGAACCCCTACCCTTACAGTAATTGTTCTAGCCAGGAAACAAATGCCCCTACACCTCCACCCCGCACTGAGACTCACCAGTTTCAATCACAAACATCCTTTTTCCTCTACCACCCTTAGTAAACACCCTTACCTTTAAGATGAATCAATTGACAATCTGCTTATTCATAATCCTGGAGTTCTCTTTTCAGGTAAACCCTGGTAGTATCATGTACCAATGATCATATTTTGGATCCATTCAAGATACAACTCTTAAACTATGTACTGGTGGTATCAATGTCAGTTAAGAACCAGTTGCTTAAAATTTTGGTTAGCACAAGACAGTCTTAATCCAGTCATAATTAATACCTGTGTGTAAAAGAATATTGAACTTACTGAGACTGGTTTGGGAAGAGTGAAGTAATGGAGGGGATGATTTTTTTTTAATTTTTATTTTCCTGTAAAGATGCTGTACAGAGAGGTAACAGTTACTTCAGTTAGGTAATGAGTACATTTCTTGTCCAGCATTGTTACCCCCTCCTTTGTTTTTCTCCCATTATCCCTTCCCTTCTCTACCTCCCCCACTCCACTCCCCCCCCAAAAGTTGTAAGGTTCATTTCCAACATAGTGTTTTGTGAGTATCATTGTTGCAGTGGGTCATTCTGTGGCCTTATTTCAGCATTGGATGATTCTTTTTTTCTTTTTTGGGTCCGGTCGTGGGGCCTGAACTCTGAGCCTGAGCGCTGTCCCTCAGCTCTTCACCTCAAGGCTAGTGCTCTACCACTTGAGCCATAGCACCACTTCCAGCTTTTTTTCTTTTTGCTTATGTGGTGCTGAGGAGTCGAACCCAGGGCCTCATGCATGCAAGGCAAGCACTCTACCACTGAGCCACCTTCCCAGCCCTGGATGATTCTTATTGATGAACATTGTATGCCTGCATTGATGTGTCAAAATTTCTTCATTAGAAATGTTAAAAACTGACAAGTAAGAAAACAGTATTAGAAGGGAAGCATTAAAATATAGAAACATTAAAATAAAGTAAGATAAAAATAAATTTAGAGTATTAATTGTAAGCCAAGCCCAGAGAATACAGTACCACTCCACTAACCTATTTTTCTTCCTCTTAGTGTACATGAGCCTAATGTTTGGTGCTTCTCATTCTCTCAATGGTAAGAGATGTTCTTGGTTTGAGTAAATTTTTAGAAAGGTCAAAATGTTTGGGTGACCATTCCAACATAATAAAAAATGCAAAATCTAATTTCTGATCCCAAACTTGTTAGTTTTACTAGAATCTTTTGTCTATAAAAGGAACTAAAATTAACTAACTCTAGTTTTCATATGTGCCTTACAAAAGAATTATAAGAAATGAACACTAGAGATCATTTTTTTAAATTTAATTTAATTTAATTTGTGAACATACTGTACAGAGGAGTTACAGTTACATGGGCAGGATAATGCGTACATTTCTTACCAAGCATTGCAGCCTCCTCCTTTGTTTACCCTTCACATCCCTTCCCAGCCTCCCCCCTCCCCCCACTAGAGATCATTTTAAGACCTCTTAAAAGAATAGTCCAACTCTTACTATTCTTACTAGTGGAAAAATGAAGCCAGCAGCTGGTGGCTCATGCCTGTAATCCTACCTTTTCAGGAGGCTGAGATCTGAGGATCATGGTTCAAAGCCAGCCTGAGCAAGAAAGTCAAAAGACTGGAAGTAGAGCTCTGGCTCAAATGGTAGAGCACTAGTCTTGAGCAAAAACCCCCAGAGGGACAGTGCCCATACACTAAGAACAAACATACCCATTGCATACTAAGTCCTGAGCTGGACACTGGTGGTTCACACCTGTAATCCTAGCTACAGAGAAAACTGAGATCTGAGGATTGTGGTTCAAAGCCAGCCTGAACAGAAAAGTCCATGAGACTCTTATTTAAATTTATCAGCAAAAAGTCAGAAGTGGAGATGTGGCTTAATTGATAGAGCACCAGGCATTGAGTTCAAGCCCCATACTGGCAGCGTACACACACACATACACACATGCACACACACAATTAATAGTATAAGGCAGGATTTGACAAGTGGAGTGTTAGAATCTCATTTGCCACCCATTTCCCAGCATACAACACTATATAAGTCAACTGGATTTCACAGGTGGAAAATGGGACTCTTAAGTACCTAGCTCAACACTACTTAAGCTAAATGCCTAGAAAGGGCTAGTCCTTACACATATTATTCAACTCTCCTTTCTGTGACCAGGGAAATAAGTGCAGAGGGGAGTTCAGAGGGAGCTGGGAGCAGAGCTAAGAAAATGGAGGGGTGGGGAGGGAAACAAGAAGTACACTGCAGAACCCAGAATGAACTGGATTATTTTGGCCCAGTGAGTTAGAAAGACTCAGTAATTGGGGAAACCCTTTTATTCATGTGTGTGTGTGCATGTGTGCACGCATGCATGTGTGCATGCTGGGACTAGGCCTTGAACTCAAAACCTCAAGCTCTCCCTTAGGTTTTCCCACATGGCTGGCACTCTACCATTTGAGCCACACCTCCATTTCCAGCTTTTGGTGGTTAATTGGAGATAAGCATCTCATGAAATTTCCTGCTCAGGCTGGCTTCCAACCTAGATCCTCAGATCTCAGCCTCCTGAGTAGCTAGGGTTACAGGCGTGCTACCAAGGGCTCAAACTCTATTTATGGAGTATGAACTTCCTGTTTTCAGCATTCCCCTCACTGTCAGGAGTTTGTTTGTTAATTAAGTATTAGTTCATTTCCTATGTCCTATGTGAAGAACTCAGGACTCTCCAGAGGGCTTGTGTCCCCACATCCCAAGGGAAAGATAGAACAATGGCCCAAATGCAGCCCTTTGTCCCAAATGTCAGCCCCATTTTAAAATTTCTTCCTGTTTCTCTTTAGGTTTTTCAGAGGAATCTTGCATTTTGAAAATGACAGTACAAAATTTTCGGCTCATTTTATCATGGGAATTAAAAAACACTTCCGTCGTACCAACTCATTATACATTACAATACACAGTCATGAGGTTGGTTATTTCATTTTTCTCTTGCTAAAGTAGTATCTTTCCATTATATACTCTCTCTCTTAGTCTCTCTTTTTTCATCTGCCTCGCACCTGTTCCTTCCTGTCCAGTTTTTATATAGCCCCTTAAAAGACCAAGGGCAAAACACCTACCTGTGTGTGTGTGTGTATGTGCGTGTGCGTGTGCACGCGCGCGCACTGCAAGTGCACCAGAACTGGAGCTTGAACTCAAGACCAAGGCCTCATGATCTCGCTTGGCCTTTTTTCTTTATCATTATTTTCTTTACAAAGCTAACACTCTACCACTTATACCACACCCCAGATCTAGCTTTTTGCTGGCTAATTTGAGCTAAGGCTTCTTTCTGCTCAGGCTGGCTTCGAACCACAATCCTTATACCTCAGAGTCCTGAATAGTTGGGATTTACATGTGTGAGTCACCAGTGCCTGGCTTCCATCCACATTTAATCTTCCTAGTGATGTCTCAAATTCAGCCAAGATGAATGTTTAAAAGTCCTCTGATTTTCAGAGGCACAGAGGTCTGCTTACCATATTGATGGCTTATGTTCACTTTTCATTATTCATAGAAGCAAATGGGAGACCATAAAACTGTCCAGCAAGCCTGGCTCCAAAGTCTGGTTAGTCACTCACCGGCTTTGCCATGTCCCAGAACACAGCCTCTCTTTGTGCTGCTTGCTGCAGGGTTGGTAGGAGTTAGAATGGATGGCGTCTTTTTGGCCCTCTTCTTCCCACATCTAGTAGTCACTCTCGTAAGTCATTCTTTGGACTCAGTGGACCCTGAAATGTCCTTCTGTTGGTTATGTACTTGCCTGGTTTATTTGCCTGGCACAGGAAGGGCCTTTTGTGAGTTTCTCTTCAGCCTCTTTGCATTGGTTGATCACCTATTTTATCTACCTACCTTTCTTTGTTTTTTTGTTTTTTTGGGTCCGGTCATGGGGCCTGAACTCTGGGCCTGGGCGCTGTCCCTCAGCTCTTAAGCTCAAGGCTAGTGCTCTACCACTTGAGCCACAGCGCCACTTCTGGCTTTTTTTTCTTTTTGCTTATGTGGTGCTGAGGAATCGAACCCAGGGCCTCTGGCATGCAAGGCATGCACTCTACCACTGAGCCACCTTCCCAGCCCCTATCTACCTACCTTTCTAAAGTAGCACAGTCCTGACTTAGAACCATGTGGCCTGCTGCCAAAGAGAAAGAAGAGGCCTCAGAGGTGACAGTCATGGATGTCCGAGAGCGGGAGGGAGATCTGGAGCCTCTTACTGGGGAAGCCTACAGTTCGTTCATCCAGCAAGTATTTACCAAGCCCCTACTGCATCCCTGGTTCCAGCCAGGAAACAAAGTCTCTGAGCTCTGGGGGGGGATTATTCTGAAAATGGATGGAGATATCATGAATCAAGTAAAGGTATAATGTGGCAGGTGGAGGGAAGCACTATACAATATAAAGATGGGTAAGGAGGGAGAGAGAGCATGCTCCATTTTAAAATAAGGTGTTTTCGCTTGGCACTGGTGGCTCATGCCTATAATCCTAGCTACTTAAGAATCAGGATCTGAGGATCACGCTTTTGAAGCCTGACAGGAAAATCCGTGAGACTCTTATCTCTGATGATCCAGCAAAGAACCTGGAGGTGGTGAGAGGCAAGCCAGGAGTGGGTTCTTGTTCTCAGTATGAACAAGTATGGAATAAAGCCAGGAACAGCAGAAACCTCGAGCAGAAAAATACATCCAGAAGAACAGATGGGGAGCAGGAGCCAGTTTTCCATCTTAGCTCTGGTGTGGAGGGCGTCTCCTTTTAGCCCCTCCTCAGGAATGGAGAGCTAGGGAAAGGGAGAGAAGATTGTTTTCCAGGAAGGTCAGGAGTGGACCAGCAGGTTCCAGGAAGCCTAAAGCTTTCAAGTGTGGTGGATGATTGGGCCTCCGGTGGAGGGAGCTGCACATAAAGTTGGGAAGGTCACTTCGGCTTTTTTTGTAGCCATCAGTGGAACTTGTGGCTCAGGTGGTAGAGCATCAGCCTTGAGCAAGAAAGCTAAGGGACAGCGGTAAGGCCCTGAGTTCAAGCCTCATTACTGGCATAATAAAGATAAATAAAGTAAAACTGTGGTTAAGGCAGGGGATGTGGTACAGTGGTATTTGGGCAGCGTCCTAAAGGAACTGAGGTATGTGAGACGCAGACGATGGATTGGCCTTACCTATGTACTAAAGCTTTCCTTTCTCCGTTGCTCTCCAAAGTAAACTGGAAGGTGCGAAGGCCATTGGGAACTGTACAAATATCACGTCCTCGTTTTGCGACGTCACAGATGTGTGGGAAGACATGCACGAGACCTACATCCCCTTGTTGGAGGGGTTCCGCGGGAACACAACGTTGCTGCAGTGTGTGGGCAGTATCTTGGCCACCAACTGTGAGTCAATGGCTTTGTCTGTCTCATCAAGATCATCCTTACTTGTTCTACCATAGATAAGAGGCTCTACAAAGGTGTCTTAGGACCAAAGGAGCTCTCTCCCGCTCTGCCATTTCCTGTTTCTGCAACTGAGGCTCCTTATTTTGTGGCTCTAAGCCTTCTTATCTAAAAAGTGGAAGCAGGCTAGGCACCTGTGGCTCAGGCCTGTATTGTGAACTACTTGAGAAGCTGAAATAGGAGGATCGTGGCCCAAAGCCTGAAGAAGAAAAAAATAAAAAGCCCAACCAGAGTCTTATCTCCCATTAACTAGCAAAAAGCCAGAAGTGGAAGTGTGGCTCAAATAGTGGAGCACCAGTCTTGAGTGAAAAGCCAAGTGAGAGCACAAGGTCCTGAGTTCAAGCCCTCAGTACCATCGCCAGAAATAAAAGAAGATTTGGGGGGGGAGAGGCTTTGAAGGTGGCTCAGTGGTAGAGCGCATGCCTTGCATGCCAGAGGCCCTGGGTTCAATTCCTCAGCATCACATAAGCAAAAAGAAAAAAGCCAGAAGTGGCACTGTGGCTCAAGTGGTAGAGCGCTAGCCTTGAGCTGAAGAGCTGAGGGACAGCGCCCAGGCCCAGAGTTCAGGCCCCGTGACCAGACCCAAAAAAAAAAAAGATTTGGGGGAGACGTGATTGTGAGGTGGACAGTGATGATACTGAGACTGCTTTCTCACTTTGTTTCTAAACAGTGTCTTTTGAGCCACCTGAGTTTGGCATTGTGGGCTTTACAGACCACATGAATGTGATAGTGACGTTTCCACCTGTCATTCCCAAGATTTATGGGAAAGATATTTCCCATCACTTATCGCTCGTCATCAAGGAGCACGGGGAGGAGATGGTGAAGACGGTAAGTGCTCTCTGTGCCGAGGGCCACTGATGGGTTGGTAAAGAAATTAATGCGCAGTTGAACAATTGAGACAGAAAGTTCTGGGTGCCAGGCACCTATGGCTCACGCCTGTAATCCTAACTACTCAGGAGGCTGAGGTCTGAGGATCGAGGTTCAAAGCCAGCCTGGGCAGGAAACTCTCTGAGACTCTTATCTCCAATAAACCACTAGAAAACTGGAAGTGGCGCTTTTGGCTCAAGTGGTAGAGCGCTCACCTTGAGCTGAAGAGCGCAGGGACAGCGTCCAAGCCCAGAGTTCAAGCCCCACAACCGACCAAAAAAAAAAAAGTTCTAGGCATCAACATGATCTCACTTTAGGAAAGAAGTCTCTATAGTTCGTCCATTGCAGAAACACATTTCTTCTTCTTTTTTTTTTTTTTTCTGTCAGTCATGGAGCTTGACCTCTGGGCCTGGGTGCTGTCCCTCAGCACTTCAGCTCAAGGCTAGCACTCTACCACTTGAGCCACAGTGCCAGTTCCGGTTTTCTGACTGGTTTATTAGAGATAAGAATCTCACGCCTTTCCTGTCAGGGCTGGCTTTGAAGGAGATCCTCAGATCTCAGCCTCCTGAGTAGCTAGGATGACAGGCGTGAGCCACCAGCACCCAGCACATTTCTTCTTTAAAAGACTAGGCCCTGGGCACAAATCAGAGGACCCACAGGAAGACAGCATATGTGTACACAGGTGGGCAGATCTCAGGAAGCCAGGATGAAATCTCCAAAGGAATACTTTCACTGAGCCACAAGTGACAAACATGTCAAATGTCTCCAGTCTTCACACTGCAAGAGGAATGGTTCTTCCCCCTCCTCATTTCTCCCTGCAGGACTGCCACTAAATGTCCAAATCCTCCAGCGACCCCACTGTGAGACAGATCAGAATATTCCATTACTTGTTGATTCCGTCTCTCAGAGGGATAGAATGTATGAAAATGGACAAATAGCACTCATGGTTGGGCCCTGCTGTAATAGTTAGGATAATACTATGCCAACTGTAAAATCCATGCAAGTACCCGTGCTAGTGACTCACCTGTGATCCTAGCTACTCAGGAGGCTGACATCTGAGGATCCCTGTCCAAAGCTAGCCTGGGCAGAAAAGTCTATAAATAGACTTATTTCCAAATAGCCAGCAAAATCTGGAAGTGGAGCTGTGGCTCAAGTGGTAGAGCACCAGTCTTGTGTGAAAAAGCTAAAGGACAGTACCTGAAATCAAGCACCAGTACTGGCACCAAATACACACACACACACACACACACACACACACACACACACACACACACACACACACACACACACACACACACACACACACACACTCCAAATTCTCACTAATGTCTTACTGATTTTTTAAAAATTCTTTTTACAGCACAAACCCCGAATAAATGGAGACATCAGTGGAAATTTCAGCTATGTCATTGACAATTTAATTCCAAACACAAACTACTGTGTATCTGTTTATTTTGAGCCTAAAGGTCTGGGAAAAGTAATAAGATCTCCTTTAAAGTGCACCCGCCTTCAACCTGTCCAGGAATCAGGTAGGGTTTAGTTTCTGGAAATTCATGTGATCTAAATTCATGCTTCTATCTTGAAGGTAAATCTGTTGGAAGAATCTGAACTTCATGGGGGTGTGCCAAAGGCATTTCTTCCAATAAAATCTTAGCAGGGAAACCTTTGCCGCTGGTCAGTCTCTGTACTGTGTGGTAATCAATGTTTACATCATCCTACATTAAGGATGATACATATATGTCTTTCTAAGGCCAGACTCTGTCTAGAAGTACACATGTTTCAGGGAAACAGAATTAAACTCAGTGCCATGGGTCTTTGGTTGGCTGTTGTTCAAATCCAGTGCTGGAAGGTGGAGATGGAGACAGTGCGATCGGGGGCAGATGCAGCCTGACTCTGGGGATGACGTGGACCTCCCAGCATGGACCTTGCCTGTCTTTGATGAAAGCAGAAAGCTCTTCCGTTGCAGATATCCAAACAGTAAACCTGTGATCCAGAACCTTCCTTTCTCTGCAGAAGTGAGCTGCAAAACAGCCAGCTTAAAAGCCTTTCCAGCACAGAATCTGCTCAGTCTCTAGTCTGCAGCCGATTTATCAAAGGGAGGTGGGGAACATCTTAGAATATCTTCTTTAAAGGAGCCCTAAATTCCCCAGCCCCAGTGGATGTGTCTTTTATGTTTTAATTTACCAGAGTGAAATATGGTTGAATTTACAAGGAAATGACCTTAAGTGATAGAGTTAATTGTAAATTTGGTGAACTACTCTTTACCACCACCCTCAAATCAATTCACCAACACAGAAGCCCCCTAAACCTGATGTTCCAGAGTTTTGTTAAGTTTCATTATGTAGCTATGACTGACTATATCATTGGCCACAGGATTGGACTCAATTTCCAGCCCCTCCTTGATCCCTGTGAGACGGGGGTGTGGCTTGAAGGATGATCCAGTCTTCTGATGGTCCTAACCTTCTGGTTAGGGTTTCTGTCTATCAGCTCTCACTCAGAAGCTGCCCAGCCCTGTCCCCATGAGTCCCTTCATCAGCATAAACTCAGATATGCTCCTGCATTCATTTCTGCTATTGTAACACAATAGCACAGACTGGGATAAGTTAGAAAGAAGAGAGATCTAGCTCTTCCAGTCCTGAATGCTGGTTGTCCCAGATGGAAGGGCCTTCTTGCTGCATGCATGGTGATGGTGGTATGTTGAAGGGTATTTTCTGTCAAGAGGGGAAACGGTGAGCTGCCTTCACAACAAGCCACTCCTGATACATAACCCACAATAACATGGGCCCATCTATGAGAGCAGAGCTTCTATGCCCCAAATACCTCTCAAAGAGCTTATCTCCACAACGTTCACACTGACAGTTAAATTTCATCACAGTTTTTCCTCTGACTCTCTTTTTAGCAGAGGGTTATTTATGCGTGGGCATGCCGGGAGGCTGTTCCATCTTCACTCTGCACACATACATCATGTTGCATGTGTCAGCTGTAGCTCTTCCATCCATTCACCAAGACAGTTAAAGTGAAGGTGTCCCAAGAAACCAAACAGGTTGGCATAACATAGCACCTCTCACCGTCCACTTGCTTCCTCAGCCACCCTCAATCAGTTAAACTCAAGATCCAAACAAATTGCATGCCTGAGGGGTCATGGATGGAGAGCTGACAGCAGTTCTGACTTGGATTATAGCAAACACGACAGTCTCAGGCCAATTGACACAGGGTGACTTTGCCCAGAGATTTGGCCATCCCAGAATTCACTAATTGGCTCTTTCAGTAAAGCCCTTAAGGGAAGCTCCATTCGTTCATTTGGTAAACATTTATTAGGATTCTACAGTGATGAAATTCCATCCTGGACAATAGAGACAGCAGTGAAGAAAACCAACCCCGACATTATGGACCTTACATTGCAGTAGGAGACTACATGAAATTAAAAACAAAAACCCAGCCCGACACTTGTGGCTCATTCCACAAGCTACACTAGAGGCTGAAATCTAAGGATCACAGTTCAAAACCAGCCTGGCAAGAAAAGTCTGAGATACTCTTGTCTCTAGTTAACTACCAAAAAGCTGGAAGTAGAGCCGTGGTAGAGCTCAAGTGGTAGAGCACCAGCCTTGAGTAATTAAGCTAAGGGACAGTGCCCAGACCCTGAGTTCAAGCCCCAGTTACTGACACGCAGAAAAAATGAAAAGTTCAATTACATAACCCCCTCTTTTTCCTCTTTATCTACTTTTACTGAGGATTTGGTTATAGGTTTAACACCAATAAAGATCTTTCTACACATGTAAAAGAGTTTATGTCTTATTATATCAATATCTATCTCTTGTTGGTCCAGACATCCTTGCAGTCAGGAAATTGCAGTTTCCAAAAGGAATTCTGCCAGGCAAAGGGGAATTCTTCGAGCCAAGTGAGTTCCAGGCACGCTGCCTTTCTTTCACCTCTTCTGCCTTTAGCACATGCAGTCATGTACCTGGTAGCATTGCAGATTTGGCTGAGGTGATGGAAAAAATGACCTCCTTTTATTTAATTTGGGTCATTAATTAAACAGCCTCAGCTAGTGGCTACTACATTGTAACCAGAAACCATCAACTAAAAAAAAAAAAAAAAAAAATATTTACTTTGAAAGACATAAGCCAGGCACTGGTGGCTCAACACCAGTAATCCTGTAGCTTCTCGGAGGCTGAGAGCTGAAGATCAAAGTTAAATCGGCCTGGGCAGAAAAGCCAGAAGTCTCTTATCTCCAGTTAACCATCAAAAAGCCAAACATGCAGGTGTGGCTCAAGTGGTTGATTACTAGCCTTAAGTGGAAAAAAACAAGTGAGAGCATGAGCCTCTGAGTTCAACTCTTAGTGCCAGCGCAAGCACACGCATGTGTACACACACACACACACACATTAGGCTTACTCTCCGTTCTTCGATATGTCACAATGTAAGTTTTTTTTTAAAAAAAACTTCTGCTTCCTCTGTATCAAACCTTCTAACACCAGAGTGGAGGTACGTTGATTCCCATCAGTGACCCCTTCATCAGACTTCTTTTGAGGTATAATCGTTTATCTTCTCTCCAACAGGGCTATCAGAGTCTGCCAAAGCAGGAACCCTAATCATTTTGGGTTTGCTAGTAGCTGTCTCTGTGATCATAATGTTGAAACGGGTTGGTTATATTTGCTTAAAAACTAAACTCCCCAAAGTCTTGGTAAGTAATGTTGTTTCCTTTTTTAAAAATTTTGTTTATCGGGGCTGGGAAGGTGGCTCAGTGGTAGAGCACTTGCCTTGCATGCTCGAGGCCTTGGGTTCAATTCCTCAGCACCACATAAGAAAAAAGCTGGAAGTGGCACTGTGGCTCAAGTGGTAGAGCGCTAGCCTTGAGCTGAAGAGCTGAGGGACAGCGCCCAGGCCCAGAGTTCAGCCCCACTACCGGACCCCCCAAAAAAATTTTTTTTTGTTTATCTTTTTAACTTAAGTGTTTTTATTATATACTTGAATGTTTTCACAGAAGAGAGTCTTATGTAACAAAACCACCAGTGAGTTTTATCAGTCTGGAAAAACAAACTTTGCAATTGTAAGTTGTCTTATATGGATAGGTTGTCCATGTATTATAAAATTCCATCATTATTAACGTCTCACTGATTAATATATTATTTGACCATTTTCTGTCTAAGCAGCATTTAGATTTTTTTTCTCTTTATGCTTTCTTTTCCTTTCTATTCTTTTATTCTTTGGCCATTATAAATAGTATAATGAAGTTTTGTGTGTCTGTGTCTGTATCTGTGTGTTGGTACTGGGGTTTGAATTTAAGGCTTCGTGCTCTGGCTTGGTTTCCTTTTCCTCAAAAACAGCACTCTACCACTTGAGCCATACTTCCAGCTCTGGCCAGCATTTTTCTGGTTAATTGGAAATAAGAGTCTCACAATGTGTTTTCCTGGGCTGACTTTAAACTATGATCCTCAGATCCCAGCTTCCTAAGTAACTAGTATTATAGCCGTGAACCACTGGCACTCAGCTTGCAATGGAAATTTCTATATAGATTTTTTTTTTTACTATGGGTTACTTGAATTAACATGCACATGCACAAAGTAAATTTATCTTGTGATATAACTAATTAAGTTATAATGCTGGCAATAGTGTATGCATTTGCTACAAAGTACCAATAACATTGATCAGTTGATTCATTTTTATTTTTTTAACTTAATTGTATTTTTTGCCAGTCCTGGGGCTTGAACTCAGGGCTTTGGTGCTGTCCCTGAGCTCTTTCACTCAAGGCTAATGCACTTGAGGCACAGTGCCATTTTCTGCTTTCTCTGAGTAGTTTATTGGAAGTAGGAGTGCACTTTCCTGCCCAGGCTGGCTTCCAACCAGTCCTCAGATCTCAGCCTCCTGAGTAGCTAGGATTATAGGCGTGAGCCACAGTGCTCGGATGATCAGTCGATTTTTTACAACCTCTGTTCAGGGTCAGATATTCTGTCATTTGTGTTATTATTGTCTTATTTTAGTCTCTTCTGTGTTTCTTATTTTCTTTTTTTATTATCTTTCAGTAATTATACAAAGATTTCAATGTAACAAGTCAGGTTCTTCTGCATTTCTGTTTGGATCCTTAGCAGAGCCTTTGCATTGATCTGGACATCTTTCTAGAACCTTCCTTCTTTTAGCTGACCTACACTCACCCATCATTGATCACTTCCCCTCTCTCATTGCTTTCCTTTTGTATTACTTCAGCAGTATTTCCTATGGAAATATTTTTTAACATTTGAACTCATCCACCATCTAATTGCTCAACAGCCATATAATTACATGTCCTTCACAACTGATAAAATTACACTTACTTTATTATCTTGTATCTTGTATTTCTCCGCTAAAAATTATTGTTGTATATTGAAGTAAAAATCCTAGGGATAGAAAAATAGGACACTCCATGTCAGAGTGTTTGAATACACATGTTTAATCAAGAGTAGATGTTCAATTTTTTTTGTATGTGCCAGTGCTGGGATTTGAACTCTAGGCCTGAGCACTGTCCTTGAGCTTTTATGCTTAAGGTTAGCACTCTACCACTTAAGCCACAGCTCCACTTCTGGCTTTTTATGGTACGTGTTTGGAGATAAAAGTCTCATTGGCTTTCCTGCCCAGGCTGGCTTTGAACCATGATCCTTAGATCTCAGCCTCTTGAGTAGCTAGGATTGCAGTTATGAACCACCAGTGCCTGGCTGATTTTATCATTTTATAACATTTTTTGAGTATCTATAATGTGTAGCATGTTCCAGATGTTGGGATACAAAAATGAACAAATAAAAACTCTGCCTTTGTGGAGCTGAAAGTTTGAGGAATGGGGTAGAGACAATAATAATTGATAGATGAGATTATAAAATTATCTAAGTAAAAAAATTTCCCATGAGTCTAGAGGTAACTAACTTATTAGCTTAGCAATACCAGCCTTCACTTTAAAAATAAGTATAAAGCATAATTAAGAAATAAACTAAAGCTGGCTGCTGATGGCTCATGCCTATAATCCTAGCTACTCAGAAGGCTGAGATCTGAGGATCATGGTTCAAAGCCAGCCCAGGCAGGAAACTCCATGAGACTCTTATCTCTAATAAACCACTCAGAAAACCGGAAATGGTGCTGTGGCTCAAGTGGTAGAGTGCTAGCTTTGAGCTGAAGAGCTGGGGGACAGCACCCAGGCCTGGAGTTCAAGCCCTACCACTGACCAAAACAAAAATAAATAAATAAATAAACAAAGCTGGTTGTTGGTGGTACATGCCTATAATCCTAGATACTCAGGAGGCTGAGATCTGAGAATAACAATTTGAAGCCAGTCCAGACAGGAAAGTTCATGAGACTCATCTACAATTAACCATCAGGAAACCAGAAGTTGCACTATGGCTCAAAGTGGCAGAGTGTTAACCTTGAGCAAAAAAAGCTCAGAGAGGGGCTGGGAAGGTGGCTCAGTGATAGAGCGCTTGCCTTGCATGCATGAGGCCCTGGGTTCGATTCCTCAGCACCACGTAAGCAAAAAGAAAAAATCCGGAAGTGGCGCCGTGGCTCAAGTGGTAGAGCACTAGCCTTGAGCTGAAGAGCTGAGGGACAGCGCCCAGGCCCAGAGTTCAGGCCCCATGACCGTACCCAAAAAAAAAAAAAAAAGCTCAGAGAGAGCCTGAATTCAAGCCCCAGAACTGACAAAAAAAAAAAAGGAAGTACACAAATCATAGATGTGAAAAGGAAGTACACAAATCATAGATGTGAAGCTTGGTGAATTTTCACAAATTGGACACACCCATAAAACTCATGTCCAGATCAGAAGAGAACATAGCCAGTTCCTCCAGAATTCTCAGCTAAGGATTAGACACTAATCCTTCCCAGGCATAACCAGGCTCCTGATTTCATTTTTCCTGGTTTGGAACTTTATGTAGAATATCCATTGCAAACTTCAACTGTAATAGTAACAAGAAACATTTAATGTATAAATCAAGCAGATGATGTCCATGACCATTGTGGAGAAAACTATCAATCTGATTGAACACTATAGCATTACTTATCAGAAAGAGAAGGATGGAGTGGTCAATAAAGTTTACTTACATTAGGGAAATAACATTGGATCCCTACCTCACACCACATACAAGTGCCAGTTCCAGTTAAATCTAAGACTGTAATATATGAAAGCCAAAGCAGTTACAGTTTTATAAGGCAGTATCAATAGCTTCTGACTTGTTCAGCTTGCATACTTTTTGACTCTGTAATGGTCATTCAGTAAAACCTGTACCTCAAATTCTGGATTACCATAGAAAGTCAACACTAGGTTGTAACCTAGGCTGTGTGTATGTTAGATGATATTGCCAACTGTGGGCTCATGTAGGTAGTGTGGGCCTCTTAAAGCGTAGGCAAGTCTTAAGTTATTGATCAGTAATTTAGCTATATTAGGCATATTTTCAGCTTACAATGTTTTCACCTTACTATGTTTATCAGGTCATAATTGTATCATGAGTCAAACAGCATCTATATAGGAGATAAAACCATGAGACTTCATTTCCAAAGTAACTAGCAAAAGGAAGGCTAGAGGTATGGCTCAAGTGGTAGAAAGATATCTGAGCAAACAAACTGAGCAAATGAGAGACCCTGAATTCAAACGCCAATACTGTGGACAATAAAAATCTTTTCTTATATAGACTTTTTAGTTTAAAGTTTTAGCAAAAATGAGTTTTTAATATAACAAACAGGGTTGAAGTAGGGAGAAATCGAAAAAGAGAAACATTTCCTGCCTCTCATGCAGGAGAAGTAGTAAAAACTCTAAATGTTGTTTTCATCTTTAGCTTTTGAAGCTGGGGAAATATATAAGATCTTATCTATCCAGGGGTTTCTTTAGGGGTCAGTCCTGGTGCTTGAACTCAGGGCCTAGGCACTCTCCCTGAGCTCTCCTACTCAAGGGTAGCACTCTACTATTTGAGCCACAGCACCGAGCTACAGCTTGTTTCCTGGTGGTTAATTGGAGATAAATCTCAGAGTCTCAAGAACTTTCCTGCCTGAGCTGGCTTCAAATAGTGATCCTCAGATGTCAGCCTCCTGAGTAGCTAGGATTACAAGCATGAAGCACCTCACTTGAATAAGAATTTTTAATACTATAACCTACTTTGTGCCAAGGCTGGGATGGATACCAGTAAGTGCTTGAGTCTACAAGGCATTTCTTTCCTGGATTATTCCTAGCATTTATAGCCAGGTCCTGGGCTATTTCACCCAGGACCTTTGTCATTACCCTCAAGGGTAATAAAAAAATCTAAAGAACTCAGCCATTTCCAGATAGATTGCCCTTCATTCCCCGACCTTTGGTAGTCTGTAATCCTAGCTATTCAGGCTAGAGAGAGTCACAGTTCAAAGCCAGCCTAGGCAGGAAAGTCTGTGAGACTCTCCTCTCAAACAAACCAGCAAAAATCCGAAATGGAACTCCAGTTCCAGTGGTAGAGTGACAGCCTTGAACAAAAAAAGCCGAGCCAGTGCATGAGAACCTGGCCAAAACAAACAACAACAAAAAGCCATAGCAATCGTTAAGTGATACAGTCTCTCTGTTTCTCTCTCTTAGAATTTCTGTAGTTATCGTTCCCTGAAATTCTCCAAACCGCCACCATTGGAAGCAGTGGATATGGTGGAAGTCATCTCCATCCACAGAAAGAAGAAAGTGTGGAATTACAATTACGACGACAGTGACAGTGATACTGAAGTGACTCCTAAGGCAAATGCGACTGGCTATACCATGCATGGACTCGTAGGCCGCCTTCTAAGCCCGGACCCAGCCTCCTCCATCCCGTCCCACGAGTCCCAGCCCATAGACCCAGATGCTGACGAATCTGATGAGGCTGAAGCTGGAGCTGAGCTGGACCCCTCAACAGCACCAGAACCCCAACCTTGGCAGTCAGGAGACTCAAGTGAGCCCTATGAGAGGAGAGAAAGTCTGCTCCAGGATCCCTTTCTTGCGGACAATAGCAGCTCCCCCGAGGGCTCTGGAGACAGAATTATCTTCAATGTGGACTTAAACTCTGTATTCTTGAGAGTTGTCGACAAAGACGTGGACGAAGCCAGTCTGGTGTCATCTCTGACAGAAGAGATGGCGGACCCAGAAGAGGATGCTGATGGAGGAGAGTCCACTCTGCTGATAGCCAGTGGGGAAAGGACGCAGGCTGCTCACCTCAGCCCCTCTTCCCAGTGCCTGCGGACAGAAGATGCTCTGTCTGACCAAAGTGATGCAGACGCGGACATGCAGGATGGTTATTTAATGAGATGACTCCAAGAGCAGCTCCCGAATGTGAACTGAGAAGTACCTCTGGGTATTCCTGCACCCTGTATGCCTGGAACTGCCAGTGTCTGGGAAGGAAGGAAGCCGTTCTTCCAGGCACCCTCATCTGTGCAGGTCCTCAGTATTTATGGAGATCACAGTACTGTTCAGTGTGATGTTTACAAGGTCAGAGTGATGTGTTTTGGACAAACCATGTTCTGCCATGTTTACCCGAACACACTTCACTTTGCATGCTTCTGTGTAGTGTTTCCCAGGGAGCCAGGTCCACTGTTGTTCTCAGGGTGGTAGAGACCCCTGGATTCTATATTTCTGGGAGATAATTAAATTGGACCAGGTGCCCCTGGCTCACACCTGTAACCCTAGTTACTCAGGAAACCAAGACCTGAGGATCACGATTCAAAGCTAGCCCAGGCAGAAAAGTCTATGAGACTCTTTTTTTAAAAATAAGTTTTTTATTGTGAAAATACCGTACAGAGGGATTACAGTTACATGAGCAAGGTAATGAGTCCATTTCTTATTAAGCATTGTTGCCTCCTCCTTTGTTTTTCTCCTACCATCCCTGCCCTCCCATCTCCACAACTACACTCCCCCTTACTCCCACCCCATGAGACTCTTATCTCCAGTTAACCACTAAAAAGATGGAAGTGGAGGTGTGGCTCGAATGGTAGAGCATTAGCTGTGAGCTAAAAAGCTAAGGGACAGTACCCAGGCCCTGAGTTGAAGCCCTAGTACTGACACAAAAAAATTAAAAAGTGCTATAACACCAGAGTAGATGAAAGGTGGAATGTTTCCAACCTCACTGGCCTCATCCTCACAGCCAGTTTCTCAGACCTTTTTCTGAGACTTATTTAAAAAGGGGAACAACAAAAATTATATCGGATCCTAGTTCAAGGATAAAATAGATTCCTTGTGTAATTGCTCCAACACAAATGGAGAGGGGAGAACAGTGAGGTTGCAAATGCCTGTAATCTCAGCTACTGAAAGTGTGGGAGGAAGGAAGGAAGGTCACAGGTTTGTCAGTAACAAGTAAAACATTAAAAATAATAATAAGGTAGAAGGAAGAAAGCCGCAGTAAAGAAACCCTGTACTCACATTCCATGTCTTTGCATCTCAATCTGTCTGTTTTGAATGATTAGCCGGACCATCTTTTGAGAGGACCTTCTGTAACTGCATATATTCACTCCGAGTCTTTTTTATTATTTATTTTTTTAAAAAGATTTTTGTATGATGTCAGAGTTTGGGCAAAGGCAATACAAGAATATCTTTATACAAACTTGTGTGGTCTTCTCAATGATGTCTTTGTCCTGTCTAATTGTGCAGCATGTTTGCAGTTCATTTTCCATCCCAGTTCCCTTCTTGGTCTTCAGTGGTTCTGTGGTCTGTGAGGTGGGGACCCGGGGGCCATCCCCCTCTGCACCTTCACATGGAGTGTTCCAGAACGGCCACCAGAAGAGACGAAACATTTCCCAACAAGCCATCCCGCCATGGGTTTTCCAACCTTACCACTGCGCCACGTTTACCAAGAGGAAATGAAATCTTTCCCTAGACATCTTATGGAAGAAAAGAAAAACCATTTCTGAGAAATAAATGGACCAGCCTGTGTGTCATTTCTCCCTGGGGAGCCCAAGGAAGACGCTCTGGAGTCGGGTTTGCTAAAACAGCTCAGCTCTCTGGAGACAGGATCACACAGGTAAGTAAACATGCTGTTTCACCGGGGAGGAAAACAGATCTGAGCCATCACTGGATGATTTAAAGAAAAATGGATTCCCCCCACCATGCCATCATCCAGACGCAGCTCCGAGACAGGCGTGGGGTGCATTGTTCTAGCGTCGGGCTCTGCGGGCCAAGCCCGGGACCCAGGCCCCACGCTGCAGCGGGGCGCGCCCGGGGGCGGGGCCCGGGCGGGGCGGGGCCCGGGCGGGGCGGGGCCCGGGCGGGGCGGGGCCCGGGCGGGGCGGGGCCCGGGCGGGGCGGGGCCCGAGCGGGGCGGGGCCCGAGCGGGGCGGGGCCCGAGCGGGGCGGGGCCAGTGACCACGCCCCCGGGGTTCCCGGAAGTGGCCAAGCCGAGCGTCCCGCGCCACCCGGGCCCCCGCAGCCCCTCGCGGGTCCCCGCGCGGCCATGGCGCGGGGCCTGGCGCGGAGCCTGGCGTGCTGGCTGAGCGGCGGCCTGCTGGTGTCAGGTGAGGTGTGCGAGGCGGAGGCCGGGCGGGCGGTGACCCCCGGAGGGGGCAGCCCCGATGGCGCCCCGCGGCGCCCCGCAAGGGAGCGTGCGGCACGTCGGTCCGGCGGGGCCTGGGGCCGGGGCGGGGGAGGAGGGAGCCGGGGGCGGACCCCGCACCCCCATCCCGCAGGCGGAGGCCGCACCCCCGGGCCGCACCCTACGGGCGCCTTCCCCGTGGCTCCGTGGGCCCCTCGCCCTGGAGCCCGCAGCCGTCCGGCTTCCAGCCTCGCCTCCCTCGGGTGTGAAGGAGCCGCAGGTTCCCCCCACCCCCCACCCCCGGCCGCCCCCCTGCCCGAGCGTCCCCGTGGTCCTCGCTTCCCCACCCCGGACTCACTTCGGCCCCTGGACTCTGTGGCTTCTAATGGACCCGAGACCTGTGTGACCGCGTCCGCCCGCGGAGCACTGCAGGCCCCCCATACAAACAGCCCGGGGGTCCCCACTTTACTGGGGATGAGCTCTGCACCCCCGCTTACCTCTTCCCTGCCTGTCCGGCTGCTTGTACCTGCGACCCTTCTCTTTCTCAGCCGGCCAGCTTCCCTCCCCACGCTGAGATTTTCAGCAGCCAGCAGAGGCCAACTGGGTGAGTTGGCCTGTGAGTTTCTCTGCTGCTTTTATGGGCTTAGTGTTTCCTGTTCAAAAGCTTAGAGATAAGCGGTCACTCACACCTGTCATCCCAGCTACTCAGGAGGCTCATGTCTGAGGATTGCTGTTCAAAGCCAGCCAGCACCCAAAGTCTGTGAGTCTCTTTAAGGGGCAAAAGGCCAGAAGTGGAGTTCTGGCTCAAGTGGTAGAGCACCAGCCTTGAGTGAAAAAGATCAAGGAATAGCTCCCAGGCCCTGATTTCAAACTTCAGTACCAGCACAAGAGAGAGAGAGGGGGGGAGGGGAGAAAGAAGAGAGAGAAAGAGAAGAAAGGAATGAAAGAGAAAGCAAGCTTAGACACCTGCCTTCTCTGAAGTCTTCCGGGTGTGACCTCCAGACTCATTCATTCAGTTGAACTGTCACCCTCACTTCCTATTTGAGTATCTCTGCAGTCCCAGACAGCTGCAATTCATGGATTCATTCCTCCAGTCAGGGCTCCACGTGCTTAAGCCAGAAAGAGGGTTAAACTTTGATTTCTCTGCATTAAGTATATAAAAAATCTAGCGCTTTATACATCTGAAATCCTCTTGCCATAACCCATCCCTTCCTCAAACCAGATCAGCATGATCTTCCCTTCATTTCCCCACCAGAAGGTTCTTCTCCCGGAGCTTGGAATGAAATCCAGCCTTCCTGGTGCATTAATGTCCCTCTTCTCCTCCCCCAGGGAGCTGTCATGGAAACCTAAGTATGGGGTGTGGGATTTTCTTGGGCCACCTTTTTGAGGAAAAGAGTTAAAAGTTTCCCTTCCTTTCCACAGCCCTAGTGATGGTACCACCTCCTGAAAATGTCAGGATCAACTCTGTTAATTTCAAGAACATTCTACAGTGGGAGCGGCCTGCTTTTGCCAAAGGGAATCTGACTTTCACAGCTCAGCAGAAAAGGTAGGTCCAGGGATTCTTGGCAGAAGAGTGCTGAAAGCTGGTAACCCTGGGCCGGGTCATGTGTGGAGGGAAGGGGTTGCTGTCACCCGTATGATCATGGAGTCTAGAAGGACCACCCCGCTGGCCTCCTTCTGTGCAGGAAATGCTTGAGATCAACTTTTCCTTATATGATTTTTTTCTTTTTCTCTCCCCCCTCCCACCCCCAGTCCTGGGGCTTGCACTCAGCGCCTGGGCACTGTCCCTGAGCTTAAGACGAGCACTCTACCTCTTGAGCCACAGCACCACTTCCAGCTTATTCTGTTTATGTGGTACTACAGAATCGAACCCAGGGCTTCATGCATGCTAGACAAGCACTCTACCACTAAGCCACATTCCAAGTCCCTGTATGATTTCTTGGGTTGGTTTATGGTTTTATGTGTGTGGGGAGGGGGTATTAGGCTTGAATTCAGGGCTTCATACTCAGCCTTTTTGCTCAAGGCTGACACTCTACCACTTGAACCACACCCAGTTCCAGCTTTGGGCTAGTTAATTAGAGCTAAGAGTCTCTCTCTCAGACTTTTCTGCCCAGGCTGGCTTCAAACCAAAAGCCTCAGATCTCAGCCTCCTGAATAGCTAGGATCAGAGGCATGAGCCTCTGATATGTTCTCAGACAAAAATGCTCCTGCTCTCACCATGTTATTAGACTAGGTTTGCTAAAAGTCCACAGTGTACCGATGGCAGCTGTTTAAGAAACCAGGCAGTCAAGAAGATCCTTGCTGTACCATCATCCTACCACAACAGTCTGGTATCAGCCATGGGCCCCAGGGACTCAGGTGATTCACACAGCAATGCTTTGTCACCATGCAGCTGGAAGACACCTCCTAGCTGATCAAAGCTCTTGTATGACAGTAGAGCCTTGGAAGGAAGGGGACTGCTTTCACAACAGCTACCTGGCCAATGAATGGTCTGAACTCTCTCCTTGTCCTGCTCATCCATGTGTGTTTGCCAGCACCTGGTGATGGAAGTCCACACCAGGTTGCCAATGGCAGCAGGAGGCTCAAGGCCAATGTATGTAAACAATCTGCTTCCCAAGTGACTCAAGTAGGAAGGCAGATGAACACTCTCCTGGAAGGCAGGGGAAGTTCCCTTTCTTATCCCAACCACCCCGCCCTCTTTTTCATCCCGCTATTATTTGTACAAACATGCTCCAGGCTTGCAAAACCCAGGAAGAAGGAGGGAAAAAAGAGTAAGATAGTCCTTGACTAGATGTTGTTGAAGTATGTTTTGTTTTGTACTGCTGGTCCTGGGGTTTGAACTTCGGGCCACCAGCTCTGATTTTTTTTGTCGGTTGTGGGGCTTGAACTCTGAGCCTGGGAGCTATCACTGAGCTCTTCATCTCAAGGCAAGCGCTCTACCACTTGAGCCACAGTGCCACTTCCCCTTTTCTGGTGGTTTATTGGAGATAAGAGTCTCATGGACTTTCCTGCCTGGGCTGGCTTTGAACCACAATCCTCAGATCTCAGCCTCCTGAGTAGCTAGGATTACAGGCGTGAGCCATTGGTACCTAGCTACATCTCTGATTTTTGCTGGTTATTTAGAGATGGAAGTCTTCTGGACTTTTCTGTCTGGGCTGGCTTCAAATTGTGATCCTCAGATCTCAGCCTCCTTCATAGCTAGAATTATAG